ATCTGCTCAAAAAGAATGGGGTCACGCATAAAGTTGCATCTACATATTACCCTCATACAAGTGGAAAGTGGAAATCTCTAACAGAGAGATTAAGTCGGATTTTGCAAAAGACAATGAACGTAAATCGCAAGGATTGGTCTGTAAACTCGACAATGCACTTTGAGCCTATCAGACAGCATACAAAACTCCTTTAGGGACCACACCGTTCAGTCTTGTTTACGGGAAAGCATGTAACCTCCCTGTAGATCTCGAGTACAAAGCACATTGGACTATTAAGGAAATGAACATGAATTTTAAGGCAGCTGGAGAAAGAAGAATGCTTCAAATTCACGAATTAGAAGAAATCTGACATAACGCCTATGAGAATTCCAGGATATACAAGGAGAAGACGAATGCATATCACGACAAAAAGATCATACATCGGTCTTTTGCTCTAAATGATAATGCATCGGTCTTTTGCTCTAAATGATAGGGTTCTTCTTTTCAATTCTTGCCTTAAGCTTTTTCAAGCTGTCCTAGATGGCCAGTTCATCTTCACCTGGTACCACACCTTTTACCCAAACCTTTATGTTCGAACCTTATGCATTCTCTCTTTAGTTTGTATCGACAGATATGTGCAAAAACACTAGGGAGGGGGGAACAACATGGTTTTCAGTCACTCAAGAGAAATACTAAAGGAATTTGGGCAAATGGAGTATCAATAATCTATCAAAGCATAATGGTGCGTCAAAAAGCTCAATCATAAAGGTAAATTTCGTGCCTCTTAGGAATGTACATCTAAAGGCGGTTTCCCCCATTTTTAAAAAAAAAATCGAAAAAATGAAAGAGTGAAAGAAAAGGAAACCAAAAGCCTAAAAGAGTCTAGGACGGTCAAAATTATTTGATACAAAGGCTACAAGTATTCATCTGAGGAGTAATGGTTTTGAAACCTGGACAAAAATCTAAGTCTGGGGGAGTTATGGAGAGCACCTGAAGGAAGGAGATCAAAAATCTTTAGGCAAGGAGAATGTGACTGGAAACTGTGGACTTCAACAACTCCATCCTCTCTTGCTGTTTTGCATAATATCATGTCTCTCCAGAAAAAGGTAACCCCAAACACTAAGAACCTCACCCCTAAACAGCCATTTTTGAATACCTAGCCTTGATTGCCTTACTAAATTCCCTTTTGATGAGAACCGCTTGAACCTTTAATGAATGTTAAGAGCTAGTTGACTGGAAGATGGGTCTAAGTGTGTAGATTTTTGCACAACGGATCAACGGACAAGTTAAGCCTATATGTTAGTGAGAATTTTCTAGACTATACGTGACATGAGCATAATGATTGATTTTAGTTTAGAAGCATGGTCACTGGGATACTGTTTAGTTCCTGCGTTCTTCAAACCTCTTTCCTAACTTTGATTTTTTTTTTGGGGCAAACAAAAGTTTAAGTCTGGGGAAGTTGATAACACCTGATTTTGACCAATTTTATGGATCATTTTCAATATCTTATGCAGGTGTTTTCACTCAGCTTTCAAGGTTTTTAAGTGATTTCCATGTTTTAGAGTTTCAAATGAGTTTTCAAGATATTTTGACAAAAGGAGTGCACTTGGAAGCAAAAAGCACAACTTTGGATAAATTCAGACCGTCAGAAGTTTGGAAATAAATGGAGGCCTTCCACCATCTGATCATCCCAAAATTTAAACACAAGATAGAGGAGACAACAAGTTTTCCAATGCAAGTGAAATCAAAGCAGTCCAACGGTTAGATCTCCAGATATGGTCGATACACTGAAGGCAAATCAACATAGTCAAAAGCTGACCCGCGGCCAAAACATCATCTACCGCGGGTGCGACATTATAGACCGCGGGGAGCCAATTTTCCAGCCTCAGAAGCCCATTTTAAAGCCCAAGTCATTCCCGTCATTATTCCTGCAAGCCCTAGGCGTTCCTGAAGACCCAAGACACTATATATACCTCTTTTAAATCATTTGGAAGGGTGTGCAACATTTTGACAAGAACCCTAGAGAGAGAGATCCTCGCCATGAAGAGGAGCCACCGAGAGGGGCACCATCGGCCCTCCTGCATCACTCTGTTCTTCATTTCCAACCTTTGTCTATTTTAATTCTCTGCAATTCTAAATACTTTTGTGATGTTAAACTCAACTATGTCTTAGTAGTTTCCTAGTTGGGTTTTTAAGGGATTTTTCAAAGGCAATTTCATGTCTTGATCTTATGCTTTGTTCGATTTAGGGTTTATAATCTTCTAGGAGTCCTTCTTTCATTCTTGTTCCCTATTTTGTTTCTGTTGCTAGCCACTTAGAAATTGATCTCAGTATTTGGAGCTACGAGAGTGTTGTATCGAATTACCAGACCTAGATGTGATCGAGCGAAGTCGCTATAGGAGACGAAAGCTACCTATAGAGAATCACAAGCGTGGACGAATTCTGTTTTTAATGCATGATCTTATTCGCGGCGTGAGAGCGAGAGTTAATTTCCGAGTTGAGTGATTTGTTGATTAGGGTGGCGAGAGTTGGCTATTCCTACACGCGCCTATTCGAGTTTGGCATCCTCACTAGATAATTACCTATATCGATTTTTTTGACTTTCGATCAGTTCATGAACCCCGGCGAAAACCCTTTAGACCCAGCGTTTAGTTCTTATTGTTTTACAACCTTTTTATTTCATTTGCATTTAGATTTAGTGACACCAAAACCAAAACCCCCATTTTACTTGTTCTACTAGTCTTAAGTTTTGATTGATTCGTAATGAAAGCTTAAAATCTCTGTGCCTAAGTACTACATCGTACATCTGTGCCTAAGTACTACATCATACATCTGTGCATTTGCAGATATTCAGGGTTATAAATTTAAAACGTGAAGCTAGAAGTAACCATTGATTCTCTTAGCATCAATACACCGGTTCCAATTCCCTTCAACTTTTTGTTTCTTCGTAAAATGCCTAAACTGGAAAATCTAGAATTCCTAATTGACTTAAACGATTCACCGCCTCCATTTCCCTCCTTTAAGCATTGTCGGAAAGTCTCTCGCCAAAAAATCTCTGGCTGATTCTTGAATTTTCAACCAGATATAATCTCCTCACGAGGCTGAAGACAGGCTTGAGGTGCAGTTTCTAAAATTAGAGCAGGTGAACCGCACTGAGTTTATTATTCCCCAAAGAGGTTAGCTGGGAGAGAAATGCAAGAATAACTACTTGTTAAAAAGTTCATGAGAGGATTGAAAATGGACATCTGTTACTGTTGCCGGTTTCTGAACTACGCCTTAGTGATTGATCTGGTCGAGAAAACAGTACTAATGAGAAGAGTATCAATGATTAAAACAAACTTCCAAGGAGTGCTCAAACTGTGTGCAAAATCTGTGCAAAATCTTTAAACATAAGATATCTCTATATTATTGTTTAAGGAGTCATTTATAAAAGAACTTTATTTTATAAATTATTACATATTCTATCATTACAACTAACAAAAGATCATTGAAATAGGAAAATGATATAATTATTTTTTAAATTTTTGAAAAAAATATAGAAACTATTTGTTTTCCATTAAAGAGGTTTCTATTATTTAGTTTCTTAATTATGTTTAACAATAATCAATCTATCTATATTCAAAGAAGAAAAAATATATTTGAAATATTGCTATACTTTTCACCATGATTTATCATAAATTATTTTAAATATATATATATATATATATATATCTATATAAAGTTGAAAAATGATATACTAATTTATAAAAAGTTAGACAAGTGAAATTATTTTTCAAAGAGCTTTCGTGTGGACTTACTACAAAAATCACTGTTATGAAATGTTGTGTATTAAAGTTAGAGCATCATTAACGCCGTATATAACAGCGTTTCTTATAGAAATATAATATTAAAAAAATTGGAATGGGTCTCGTTATTTTCAGATATGTTTCCTATTTGGGGACATTTGGAGACGTGTCTTCCCCTACTTGGCACGTTTTTATTTGCTAAAGATTTTGGGGAATTTTTTTTTTCCTTCTCTCTTTTTTCATTTCCCCGATCATTTCTCTTTCTTGACTTTTCGTCTCTTCTTCGACGAAATCGGCGACAACTCATTCCTTCCTTCTCCGACAGATTATCCGACAGGTCCGAGGTTCTCCGATGGTCGCCGACTTGCTTGGAAACGTGACAACCCTTGGTGACGACGCTGTAGATAAGCTTTCCAAACCCTAAACTCATCTCTCTTACTTGTTTTCTAGATCGTTAAACTGAGTTTTTTCCTTTTGTTTATACCATATTCGATGATTTTCTGGTTTAGGGTTAGATTTTGGTGACCTTCATCGTGTGTATTGCTCATTATTTTCGACGATTCATCCTTGATTTGGGAAGAAACCCTAATTTTGCAGAATTGGGGCTTTTGATTTTGATAAAATTTCTTTGATACTTTGGCATTTTTGGGGTTAATTTGCTTTGATCTGCATCTATTTGAATAAGAAATCGATTGAAAGTGGTGGTATTGGTTTAGGCTTTCATTGTTTCTGCTTGATCTTATATGTGGGTAAAGTAGCTTCACTCTTGGCTGCATATGTCTTCCATGGTTGAACAGATTACGGCCTTTTAACAGAAAATCGATTGATGCCATTCATATAACTGATCAATGCATTTGTGTGCGTGTGCATACATTCGTACGTATGCATCATGCATATCTCTTTTATCAACTTAATTGGTCCACATTGATGACTTGTTTTGTTATTGTTCACATTACGCTAGGTTGCATCATTTGTGCTCATTTCATTGAGCTTCTAAATGAAACCAAAGAGTTCTCTCTAATATTTTATTGCTTGTACTTATAAAGGAATCACATCATCTAATAAGCCAGTAGTTTTGTTAAGCCAAAACGGGAAGCTTGAACTTTTATCAATAATACAGATTCAACTATTGTTGAGTTTTTAGTGAGTTAAATTAAATAGTTTTTTTGCTACCTTATTAGTACAGCATTCTATATCTTTGTTTACCAAACGTTTTCTTGTGTTCTTTATAGGGGAATGCCGATCAGCTACATCAATAGCTCATCTTCCGTAGCAAGCTACAACAGTGGTTGTGCTCGGGCTGATGGGACTAATGGAATACCTGAGCAATGTTATTGTGGTCGTACCATTATAATTGAAGAGTCTACAGCTCCAGGGAGTCTCGGCAGGAAGTTCTACACTTGTCCTGCAATATTGGGTGAGGTAAGAATGTATTTCTTTCCTTTATGGGTATAGTTAGTATGTGATTCAGGGATTACATTTGTTTGTTTACATTCTCATTTTAAGGATAGTCCAGATCACATTTCCATATGGTGGGATGAAGCCATTGTAGAGCAGCTAAGCATTCTACAAATACGAATTGACCAGCAGACTTTAAGAATGGAAAGTTATAACAGAACAACACTTCTGCAGTAAAATGAGAATCGTCTGTATGCATTGGAAGATCACATTGACAGGGTCAATGAGAACATTGGAGAAATCAAGGGAATCCTAGTGGAGATGCAAAGCGAAGTGGTTCGGATGAAAGAGGCATTTGAGAATCGAGGTTCTGATGTCTCCTTATTCTGTTTTTAGTTATTTTTGCTGTTATCTCATGTGTCTTTATGCGTTGGGATGTAGATTAGATGTTAAGTCGATTGCTGTAACGTTTAAGTAGACGAGTTTTAGAAGAACACTTAAGTAATTTGACTGCCTTTCTTTGATGTTATGTTCTTATATGTTATGTTCTTATGAAAACTTAAGTACTTTGACTACTGAAATCTCATGTGTCTTTATGATGTTTTGATGTAATTTCTTTCATTGCTATGATATTAGTGGTTTATATATTGCAACATCTAGGTTTCCTTTGTGTTTTATGATCATATGCAGGCTGTGAGTTCGAGTGATAGGGAGTAGTACATTAATCAATGGTCTGATAAATCCTCAAGCAGATAAGTTGTTCTTCGTATGGTTTCCATGTTTTGGCTATTTGGGTTATTTATCTCTAACTTTATGTTTTTGTTTCTATGCAGTGTACGGTGATATTGGTTAGAGCTTTCCAAAGGTTATCTCGGGTGAAACAAATCACCATGCCTCATCCTATTAAACCGTAAGTTTTCGAATTCCTTCGTAATAGGTGTAATTACTGAATTACAATGAATACTGTAGCTCGTAGGTAGTAATAAATGTTTATTAGATATTGGTAATAAATTGCTTGTTAGAGAGGTGATGAATGCTTGGTTTGGTTTACGTCTTGTCTAGATGGTTAGATAGTGAGGATGATTTAATGTTCTTCAATGTTGTCATTAAAACAACATTAGATAGTGTTAATTCCTTTCATCTCTTTCTCTTTTCTCTTTCATTCATTTCATTGTTCTCGCATCTCTCTGTTCATTCGTTTCATCTCTTTTTCAATTCTCTTTCATTCGTTTCATCTTTGTCTCTTCTCTCTGTTCATTCTTCTCTTCTCATTTTCATCTCTCATTCATTCCTTTCTTCTCTTTCTTCTCCATCGATATGGATTCGTATCCATACTCTCAGCCGTCTAATTTTGTTGACCTCATGAATAATGGACTTCCATCTCTTGAGCAAGTACCCGTGTTTAGCACTCAATGTTTGCAAGCCTCAACCTTGGTGAAATGCTTGCTCAGCGCGGAGATAGAAGGACTTGGGCCCCCAACGAGGATGTGCTGCTCATCAGCGCTTGGCTTAACACAAGCAAAGACCATGTGGTGGCTAACGAGCAGAAATCAGGCGCGTTTTGGAAGAAGATTGCTGCATATTATGTAGCAAATCTGAAACCTTCAGAAAGTGCACCACGCAAGGCTGGGCAATGCAAGCAAAGGTGTCACAAGATCAACGATGTTGTCTGCAAGTTTTGCAGGGCATTGGAGACAGCAACGAGAGAGGAGACCAGTGGAATGAATGAGAACAATGTGATTAAGCTGGATTACGAAATCTACTTCAGTGATCAAAAGAAGAGGTTTAACTTGGAACACGCATGGAAGGAGTTGCGAAATGACCAGAAATGGTCTGAGCTTTCTACAACAAAAACGGATGCGAATTCTAAAAAAAGGACTGAGGAGGTTTCACTTTCACAGAGTTCGATAGTAGAGGAAATAAGGAGTGACGAGCAAGGTCAGGGTAGCAACCGGCCTCCTGGAGTGAAGGCTGCAAAAGCTAAGTGCAAGAAAATTATGGCTAAGAGAAAGGCACTCTGTGAGTTTGAGGGAATGTGGGCTATTAAGGAAAAGGAGATGGCCATCAAAGAAAGGCTGTCAAATATGGCTCTTATAGACAGCCTTATCGCCGAGATTGAACCATTGGCTCAGTATGAGGAAACCCTGAAGAAGAAGCTTATCCAACATTTGTTCTCTGATTAGGTCTAGGTTTAGTGTTTGGAGTTGTGTTGTTTTTGTATTTTTCGAATGTCTAGTGTCGTGTACTTGTGTTGTAAACCTTTTAACTATGTCTCGTGTAATTACTTATTTATTTAATGTTATGTCTCATGTCTTCTTTTATGGTCTTTTGGGTTTATTTGAAACTGTTCTTCGATTATTGAACATTGTTTTGAAAGTTTGAATCTTGTTTTTGTGACAACATTTGTTTTTTTTCTGTTTTAGGGAATATGTTTCAGTCGACGCAAACAAAACAAGCTGAGTCACAGCTGAGTTGGACTCCACAGAAAAGAACAATTCAGGACGAAATCACAAGATGAGTGGGAGTCATTTTAGACCACATTTGTTCTGCTTTGTGTCATGTAGCTTTATTTTTTTTAAACTCCATATTTATTCTTCTTTATTTTGACACCACACATAATGTACTATGTCGTGTAATGCATCGTCTATATATTGAGTAAACCAATTCCATTGTTCACGCAACAACGCTCCAACAAAGTTTTTTAGTTTACCTTCTCTCATTCTCCATCAAAGATTTTGGTTTTGATTACATCTTCCTTCTCTCATTCTCCATCAAAGTTTTTTTAATTTATTATCTTCCTTCTCTCCTTCTCCATCAATGTTTAATTAGTTTACATCTTCCTTCTAATATGGCTTCTTCTTCTAATAATACAAATGATGGATTTACTGATCAAAATTTTGATCAATATTTTGATCAACATTTCGATCAATATTTTGAGCAAACTTATCAGAATATGTTCATTGAGTATGGAGAGCATCAAGAGGCAAAAAAATCAAAGAAAAAAAGAGCTTATATCGAAAGAAATCGCGAAGAAGGGCACAATCGTTTATGGATGAACAAGTATTTGTTCGTGCATATTGTCGAAAAACTTTCCAATGAATTTCGATTCTTTCGACAAAAGAAAGATGCTCTGGGAAGACCTGGGCTCTCTGCTCTATAAAAGTGTACGACTGTTATTCGTCTCTTGGCATATGGTGGTGTAGCTGATACGGTAGATGAGTACCTCAGGCTCGGTGAGACAACTTCTCGTTCATGTTTGGAAAATTTTGTCGAAGCAATAATAAATTTGTTCGAAGATGAGTACCTAAGAAGACCTACAGCAGAAGATCTTCAATGCTTAATTTATGTTGGAGAACAATGCGGATTTTCCGGAATGATAGGAAGCATCGACTATATGCATTGGGAGTGGAAGAACTGTCAATACGCTTGGAAAGGGCAATATTCACGTGGTTCAGAAAAACCCACGATTGTTCTAGAGGTTGTAGCTTCATATGACCTCTGGATATGGCACGTTTTTTTTGGACCTCCAGGTACCTTAAATGATATAAATGTTATAGATCGCTCACCCGTGTTTGATGATATCTTACAAGGTCAAGCCCCGCAAGTGAATTTTTCTGTCAACGGAAGAGACTACAATTTGGCATACTATCTCACTGGTTGTATATATCTAAAATGGGCAACATTAATCCAATCTATTCCACTTTCACAAGTCACAAAAGCATCTTTATTTGCGGAACATTAGGAAGCTACCCGAAAAGATGTTGAGCTTGCTTTTGGAGTCTTGCAATCCCGATTTGCAATTGTTAAAAATCCGACTCTTTTCTGGGATAAATCTAAAATTGGAAAGATTATGAGAGCTTGTATCATACTTCACAATATCCGACGAACGAGATGCACGAACTCAGTTTGATTATTCAGAATTTCAACAAGGAGAAGGAACCGGAAGTTCACATATGGATCACTCGTATTCAACAAGTATGCCTACAAATGTTGGAAATATGCTGGGTGTTCGAACGAGAATTTGTTCTAAACAACAACACGACCAGTTACAGACAGATTTGAATAAGCATATATGGCAAAAATTTGGATATAATCAAGATAACAATTGAGTATTTATGGGAAATTGTATGTTTTACATGTTTTAATTTAAATTTTTGTACTTTGCTTTATTCAAATAAATCATTTTACATTTTAAAACATTATTCGTTAAGTTTGTTAAAAAAAAATTAAAAATCTAAAGACCCATTTGGGTCTCTAAAACAGAGGGTTTCTTCAACCAATTTCTAATTCCACTTTATGATTAAAAACTATTAAAAATTCGGAAAGAGACCCATATGGGTCTCTCTCATTGAGGATGCACTTATGTTTTAAAGGTTATATGTTCTTGTGAGTTAACTTGAATAATATCTAGTCTAGTGAAAAATAGGTTAAATAATTAAATTATTCCAATTTAACACTCCTGTCTATAATCATTAGTTATATATATTGTAAAATTCAGATAAAAGCAAATTTTCTAAAATTTCATAACAACTACTTTGTGCTATAACTATCACGGGTTAGGACATCTTACTTGGAGAATCATATATTTTATCAGTCGATTTTTTTAAAAAAGGATTTGCATTAATTTAAAGAAAAGAGAAAAACATTACTGCCCAACCCAAACAGAGCCAATGACCCTGGTTATAAATCGGATCTACTGTTGCCTCTGCAGGGATGCCTAGACGTGAAAGGTTCCTCTCAACCAAGAAAGAATGAAGGCTTCCAAAAGGAGTCCAATTATCCCAGCAAAACCGACAGGTTTTTCCATTCTGAACTCGCATCTTAATAAGGTTAAAAGCATCATCTTTTACCTTTAGTAATTTGTTTCCCAACCAAGAGAAATCACGTTTTCGCTGCAGAATCCAATAATTGTGGAGGCATCTTTGAAGCAATTCCTCTTTATACCCTTGATCAAATTCCTCTTTATCAGTCGATTTTGGTCCCAAAAAGGGTCCGGTATTACTAACTATGGAATATAGCGATAGTACATTCGATACCCACAAACCAAAAAACTAATCCTAGAAGTAATCAGATCAGTCATATATTAAAAACCTTTGTAGGTCACCAACCAACTAGTCTCCACCCAGTACCATGCCTTACGTTTTGGGAGTTATGCATTAACCTAAGGCCACCAAAAAAAATTTAAAAAAAATTAGGGCCACAATTTTCTTAACTAGGTTAATGTCTATATAGGTAATGAGGTAAACACAATGAACCAATAGAAAAAAAAACACCATTGATGAAAAAAAAATGTTTATCCCACATCAAATTCTAAAAGAGGATGCATATATAATTTCTTTAATAAGTAGTAACATCATTAGGAATATTCTTGGACTTAAAAGCCTACGTTTAAAGTTTAAAAAATTGCTTGGGTTTGATCCGACCCACCAGTTTAACCACCGGTTAGCAGAATTTTAATTAGTTTCTTTTAGGATTTACCTGGGTATTTTAAAGTCTGGTTTTAGTAGCTAATCCAGACCGGATTGTCAGCTGATTCCCGGTTACACTTTACAAAGCCGTGTTATTTGTGGCTAGACTCATCAACATTGGCCAATACGTTACACTGCGTCTTCTTCATGTTGCCATCACATTTAAACTCGAGTATGTTTGAATTTGAGTTTAAAAAGGTTTGAATTGTGTTGCAAGCTTACTTTAGACATAGCATGATTGTCTTTTTCTATAAATTTCAGAAGATGCCTCTGGTGCTAACAAGAAAACACACTCCTAGATCGGTAAAAAGAGAACAGAAGAAAAAAGACGAGGAGTTCAAAAAATATCAGCAAGGTTCTCTGCTCAGGTTTGTGAAAAGAACTAAGATTGCTAGTGTTAAATCAGATGGAATCGAACATCCTCAAATTGTTGTTGATGGTGGGTCTGATGAAAATATGGCTGATTGCGAAGCTATGAATGAATTTGAAGATGAATTTGTGAATGAGAAAGAAGATGAGAATGCACAAGAAGATGAGAATGTAAAGGTAGCTGATGATGAAAATGTGAATGAGAAAAAAGATGATAACAATGCTGAATTTATGGAGTATCATGGAAATTTTGATTTTTATGATCCTTCAAATTGGGGGAAACTTGATCAACAATAGAGAGATTTTCTAGTTGAAAAGGACCTGGATCTGCACTCCTGATGATAGCCATCATGAACAAATGACCCTCATCATTCGAAGTGTTGATATTTCAGAAGATTCAGCCAAGGTAAAGGAGTTTTTTCTGACGGTTTTGAAAGTTGATGGCACACATGGAGAAGGACTTTTTCGTGATATTCAAGATGTGTTGGTTGTTCTTGATTTGAATATTGATGATGTTAGAGGACAAGGATATGATAACGGATCAAACATGAAAGAAAAAAATAAAAGGGTACAAAAAAGATTCATTGATGTCAATCCACGTGCGTTCTATACACCGTGTGGATGCCATAACCTCAATCTTGCATTTTGTGATATGGCAACCAATTCTACAAAAGCTATATCATTTTTTGGGATCATACAACATATTTATCGCTTGTTTTCATTTTCAACTAAGCGAGAGATAGTACTTGAGATATGGTCGGAGGACTGACAGTTAAATCTTTATCTAAAATTTGCTGGGTGAGTAATGTTGCACCCGTCAAGACAATAAGATTTCAAGCTCCAAAAATAAGAGATGTCTTAATTTATATAGAAGAAACTAGTGATGATCCAGATGCACACAGTGATGCTAAATGTCTTGCCACTAGTGAAACACATGGTATTGGAAGTTATGAATTCTTGTGGTCCATGGTTATATGGTATGATCTTTTATTTGCTGTTAGCTCCGTAACCAAGAATTTACAGTCCAAAGACATGAGTACTGATTGTACCATTGCTCAGTTGAATGGACTTGTTTCTTATTTCCAAAAGTTCAGAGATACGGGTTTGAGAGAGCAAAATCTGAAGCTATACTACTGGCTGAGTCTATGGACATTGAAGCTGTATTTCCTACAAAGGCAAAGCGTGTTATAAGAATAAAAAAACAATTTTGATAAAGATTCAGAGAGAGTTGATGAAACAGTGAATTTATCACCAGAAGAAAAGTTTAGAATTTCTTACTTCATTCAACTCATAGAAAAAGCTTTAATTCTCTTCACGTGAGATTGAACTATTTCAGAAGTATAAAC